ACACTGAAAAGCATTGTGGGATACGGTTTCGTCCCTGCTGTGATGTAATTGGACCCTGAAAGGGGGGCGGAGTCTGAAATGAGTCAAACAACCTGATAGGCCGACTGCTGCTGCTGGAGTCTGTTACCGCGGTTACCGGGATGTTAACAGCATCTACAAACACACACATCCATAATTAGTGACATCACAGGGCTCTGATAACATCACCGCCCTCTGACATCCAATCAGGATCCTCGCAGTACCTGCCGGGCTGCTGGAGATCACCGCCAGCTGATTGGACGGGATGACAAACACCTCTCTGCCCTCTGATTGGCCCGCGATGATCACCTGACACAGAGCACAGAACATTAATATTTAATAATAATCTACAAACGGACGTACACGAACTGTGGCTCACCATGTGTTCACTCCGCTGCTCCACGATGATCAGCTGACTCGTCTCTGAGGGCGGAGCCAGCAGCTGTGATGTCATCCAGGTGTCAGCAGGTGGATCAGAGGGGGCGGAGCCAGCGGCAGGAGGAGGAAGAGGAGTGTTTGTTTCTGTGGTTACGACAGGAGACGGTGGGCAGGGCCAGTCGGCTGGAGGGGCGGGGCTTAATGTTGCTGTTACAGGTGAGATGAGTGAGGAGGCGGAGCCTAGCAGCAGGTCTGATCCAGGATCTGAAGACTGGAGTGAAGAAGCGATTGTTCAATAATAATCAATAAATAATAATCAGTATTAACTGATGTCACATGAGCCGAATTCACCAGAACACCAAAATGTTTCATAAAAATGTGACAACTGTTATTTTTATTTAATGAGTTTTCACTAAAAAAGAAAAGAGAAATTAAATTGACAGATTTTTAAGGGGACGCTGGCTCTGAAATGAGAGGAACAGATGGTGTGTATGTTCTGTTTAGCCTAGCTTAGCACAAAGACTGGAAACAGAGGGAAACTGTTAGCCTAGCTTTATTAAAGTCTCCTCCTGCTGCTGGTTTTATTATTGTCTGTCTCACCCGCTCAGGATCAGGACTGCTGACCTCACAGTCTGTGCTCGTCTCCATGGCAACAGCCCCAGAGTCACCTGGGTGACATCACCGCCTCCTTCATCAACAACATTAAACAAACAAACAAACAAACAAACAAACAGATCATCAACATTCAGAGAAACAATTTATTTACAATCAATCTACTGAAAATAATATAAATACAAAACTGTTTAAACACCAACAAATATAACATCTATTAATAATAATAATTATTATTATTTTAATTCTTGTGAAAATATCTGACAGAATTTATGTTTTATGAGTTTGTATTTACTCTATTTTCAAAGATTAATTAAAGAAAGAGAAGAAATGTACATATTATGTTTTATAAAACCTAAAGGAGTGTTAATGTTTAATATATTAAATATTATTGATCACAAACAAGAAGGCAACAACAACAATGCTCAGAGTAACAGAGTACATGTAACTGAGTAATCAGGATACAATAATAGTAAAACAGATTACAGTTACATTTAATAAAAGTCAGACTATTGGAAGGATTACTTTTAAATTACAGTTTGACTTTAAAAATTAATTAAAAAAATAAATTCAGATTTTTCTAATAAAAGCTGATTAATGATAATGTGCTGACTCATGTTGGAATAAAACTTATTAATAATAAACACTGATTAATGTCTTTATTTCTATTTGATCAGAACTATAATTATTATTATTATTATTATTATTATTATTATTTAGCTTAGCGCTGAGCTAACTGCTAGGCTAACAGTGAGCTAACTAACGCCGTCTGTTTACAGGCTCTGCCGTTAGCTTAGCGCTGAGCTAGCTGCTAGGCTAACAGTGAGCTAACTAACGCCGTCTGTTTACAGGCTCTGCCGTTAGCTTAGCGCTGAGCTAACTGCTAGGCTAACAGTGAGCTAACTAACGCCATCTGTTTACAGGCTCTGCCGTTAGCTTAGCGCTGAGCTAACTGCTAGGCTAACAGTGAGCTAACTAACGCCGTCTGTTTACAGGCTCTGCCGTTAGCTTAGCGCTGAGCTAGCTGCTAGGCTAACAGTGAGCTAACTAACGCCGTCTGTTTACAGGCTCTGCCGTTAGCTTAGCGCTGAGCTAGCTGCCGTTAGCCTCTCTGTGAACTGGGAACAACCGAAACTTTTATATCAGCGAGGAAAATGAAAACGAGTCTACTCGACCTCGTCTTCAGTCTGCCGCCGCCCTCCGCTTCCGCTCTCAACAAACACATTCGCGTTTTTACTACAGGAGCTCAATGGCGACAGTTTTTACCCTCTGAGGACACCGTAATCCAGGGAATAGTTGTATTACATAGTTAGTACCACTGAGTGGCGCTGTTGTCGCTTTAAATACGGACGTGGCATCGTTATGTTCGCCTCACACCAAACTCCGTTTATAAATCCATCAGTTTTAATATTTTACTGCCTTTCTCAAAACGTACAGATGATATAGATGATAATGTAATCAATATATCGCATGAAACGGATCCACTCTTCAATTCGGCCGACAATATTTCAATTAAATAGGCTTTATTGGTATGACATTTAACATGTGTTGCCAAAGCACAGTTACTATAATAACACTGAAGGAAATTGATTAAAAACGAACAATGTGATCGATAGATAATAGATCATTCATAATTGAATTGATAAATGTAATGGAATAATAATAATATATACATCAAACAGTACTGTGCAGTAATGCAATTGTAAATAATAAAGCAATATATTGAAGATTAAAATGTGTTATTGATAGCAGGGGTCGTATCCAGGGCCAGTTGTTCTTCTCAAGGCAGATAAAATGTTTATGAAGTGGAATAATCCAATATTCAGTTCCACTTCAAGAAACAGTCACTGTTTGTGATCTTTCATGTTAACCATCATCTCAGCCTGGAGCTCAGGAAGGGAGAAAAATCTCTCATAGGCAGCAAAGCATCATGGTTAAATGCATCATACAACTGGTGTTCAGTGTTATTCAGGTCAGAGGTTTACTGAGAAGAAGAATACATCATCATAAAATACACAATAACATTTAGACATTTAAAAGTAAACACAAGCTTGTATGTGAAACTGTGACAGAGGATGAGTACTCCAATAATGAGCCGTCGCACCAAACTCCATTCAATAATCTGACACTTTAATTTTCTCTCATTTATTTACCTCATAGATAATAACTGTGAAAAAAGTCATATAGGGAAGGATCCAGGGCTAGTTAAACTAGAGCTAGTTAACAATCAGGGCTAGTTAATAACCGGGGCTAAAAACACACTTTCTAGATAACAATGTGTAATAAATTATAAATAATACAGATCCACTGTTGAATTCTGCACACGTCTTTGTGTGGTTTAATAAAACACTACAGCTGAAATTCAAAGTATTAATAAAGCAATGTGTTAGTACTGCATATAGTATTGCATTTCACTGCCTCAGTCTTCTACCAGTGCCACACTTTTATTTAATTACTATATAAAACTACTACCACTGTCTGATGTGCAGTAAATTAAATTACAGCAGACGATACAGCAGAAAACTTCCTTTATTGTCATAAATAAAACACTTTGACGCACGGAATCCTCTGCACTTTATTCAATGATGAACTTAAACTTGTGATATTTTTATGATATTTACTCTACATAGATTAACAACATGTCGGGATGAAACTGTACGAACCACCAGAACTGATTTATAATCTGTAGGATTGTACAACATGCTCGGCGTGAGTGTGAACAGTGAGGATTGTTATCTTGGCAGAATACGACACTAACAGTATACAGCAGTGGTAATTGGTCCCATATGAAAGTATACAATGTGTAATAATGTAGTATTTACACTACTGGAAAGTGGAAACTATCATACATAAATACACAAAGAGATACACAATATATTCAACAACAGACGGGGAAATTCAAATATCCCAGAATAATCAGGAACCAGAGCGATACAGCAGTTAAACTTGAGTTAAATATTATGTTTTTTTAGATCTACAATACACTGTAAGTCGTGGCAGAAACTCCTCATCCTTCATCTGTACTGTCTGAAATACTATACAGTAACTCGGATATGATCAGGCAGAGTAAAAAACTAAGTAGAGTTTATGAGCGTCTGACAGCTAAAGACACAACAGAAATAATGTTTCAGTGGAGATAATTCATGCAGGAGGCGAACACATGAGCAGTGTGATAACTATAAGCTGCAGTAAATGACTTTAAAGGGATAACCCACCAGTGTGCGTCACTTTCTGGCACATTTTCAGTTCATTATCACAGATATAAAAGTTAATGAACTGATTTTGGCCCTTTTCACTCTGAAGCTGTTAGCAGTACGCTAACTGCTCAGACTCAAGACAAAGCAAACTTTAGATCAGATGTGATTGTATCGAAAATTATGAGTTGAAAATGTTTCAGCTGTTAAAACTTCACATTTCCAAAGCTGTGACGAAAAGGAAAATAACAAAAAGGTTCTGATATCAGAGCTAGCTAACAACCAGGGCTAAATTGTTTGTGTGGGAAATTATTATCTGTTGAATAAAACTGTATATGTGTTATCCTTAGTTCCAAAAAACAGTTAGCATCTTGCTACTAGAGTATTCTGGTTGTACAGTTAGCTCTGGGCTAATTCACACGTCTGCCTTCACAAACTGAATGTAAAACCAATAATCCTCAGGACACATCCATATATACACGTTAGCATCTCTAAAAACAGTAGAAACAGTAGAAAATACAAAAATAACAAAACAGAAATACATTTCAGAAAGCATCTTAAAATCAATAGAAATAAAATCATAATATATGCTGATATGGATCAGGAAGAAAAAAACACATTTTTTGTTTAATTTATGAGAAAGCTATTCTGAAATTTAGGACAATAAAGAACAAAATAACAACAACTAAAGTGCATATAAATGTTAATAACTTATTGTAGTTGCACATTTAAAGGAGCTGTTGTCAAATATACAGAAATAAAAAGCCATTAAAAACAAAAATGTATTAAGTCGACAGTCGCTTTGATATAAAAAACAAGAATAAAAATAAAAAAGAAGCCTCTTGTGTATCTTCTTTTGTTTAAAAAATGTCACACTAAACTATTAAAAAAAATGTGTATGCTAACTGAAAATACTTACATAATAACATAAAAATATAAAATGTAAGCATCCACTTTTAACCCGAAATAAACACAACTCATATTTAGGATCTATAACACAAGGAGCAGTTTATACTGTGGTTAAAATAAAGTGCTGTGGATCTTTTATATAAGATTAATTTAATGGACCAACTGTGCGAGGAGATGTCTGCAGGTTTAAAGTCCAAACGTCTTTAATTCAGTTACTACACACAAGACATTTTCAGACGTTGTAGAAGCTTTTTCTGACGCATACTGAGACCTTTAGATTGTACCATGTGATGAACTGCTCATTCACTGTACAATGGGTTGGTGAATAACACAATACAGGTAAATAAGACAGCTTTGGAGTTGTTTGAAGGCCTATTTTGTCCTGTTGGATCCTTCATCTTGGTCTCGCCTTTCATCATCTTCCTCTTGTAGGAAGAAAAGTGTGAGTGGACCCGGACGAGCCCTCAATTTATCACAACCCGGCTCAAGGCTGGACAAAGACGGGGAGAACAAACAAAAGGTGGAGCTAAAAATAAGTTAATTTTACATAACTAAAAGAGAAGTGAAGCCACCCGCCCACCAGGCTTTTCTAAGAGAGAGACCTCCTCGGAGGGTCATCGCGCTGCGCTCTTCATCAGCGCTGTAAAGGTTCCTGAGGAGGTTGTACGTGGCCGAACTCACGCAGGTCACAAGGCTGACGGTTTGACGAACTCGGCAGGAACGTGGCTTATCTCTGTCATTTCTCCAAAATGTTCTTGTTTCTTTTTGGACCGCCTCCCTCCATCCAGCCCTAACATGGCGGTCACAGCAGACCTCACAAGGCAGTTGAGACTACTTCATAAAAGAAAGTGCAAATTAGAAGAATAAAGATCCTCCAGCAGTAATCTGTTGAAAGTCAACAGGAGGAGGCATCATGAGCTGACTGCATAGCTAGAGTAAAGCAAAAAATGCTCTTTAAATCAGACAAAACACTGTAAAAAGACACAAAACACAAAGAATTTAGTCGATATTTAGTAGGTAATCGTCAGTTACTGTTGAAATTGCACAAGGTCTCCTTTATATGGTTTGTTAATTCACTAAATAACACTAACTTTACTTAAAGTGCATTAAAAAACTAATAACTCAACCTCTCTGGTCACAATGACTAGCCACTGGACACTTTTACGAGCAGCAAGCTGAATCGTAGCAGGAGCCAGAATATCCATAGATAAAGAAACGTAGACACCTCATTGGTCCGCCGCTATACGTCTGCACGGTTGCCATATTGGTGAGGTCAAGATCCGTTAGTTAACAACACTGAGAGATTCAGACTACATTACAAATCAACTGTAACTTAATTCTGAACAGATTTTCATGAAATTTGGTTCGTTATTGTCACTGGCAAAAAAATAACCTTCTGAAAAACTTCCTCTAGGACATGCAGGCTCCGATCTATGAACAGGAAACATCAATGTCAATTATTTACAATATTAGCTTTGGTTAGTTCCTCTAAAAATGTCTAATTATCTATAACATTGTTAATGCGAAATTTGTCAACAGGAAAACATGTAATTCAGTTGTTTTTACAACACTTCTTGCCAGTTTCCTGTTAGACAGTACTTTGTACCATGTGTTGATACTTGTTTATATGCTCCAGATCACACACACACTTGTACATGTTTACTGTTTTCATTCTGGATTTTGGCCAAAGTGCTGCTCTGACTAGCAGTGGCTCTTTTAAATGTTTCCCCTGTTTGAACGTCCAAACGCCTTCCAACCGGTGACTCTTGACTCTTGGCATAGAGCTGATTAGCTCCGCCCCCAGTGACTGAATTCATTCCAACCTGTAACCAGTTCAATTTGTCACTTTTTTAAAAGATTTCATGAAAATCTGTTCAGAATGAAACTAGTTACAGTCGATTATATAATTCAGTCTGAATTTCTCAGTATTGTCTTGACCTCTCCAATATGGCGGCCGCGCAGATGCACGTATACCAAATATCCAGAAAAGATCTTCCTTAACGTCACTATTAATTTAAAAGCATACCATGCAGGATTTGTCCACTGCTGTTTGTAAATTCACCATTAAAAGTTGGCCCCTTCTCCCTTTTCCGCACAGTTTTCTTAGCGTTAAGCTAGCTATGTGTTTATATAGAGCAAAGTTAGAGTAAGTGGTTTGCTCTGCCTCTGATTGTCTCTGATCCCAACAGGTTTTTCTAAGTCTAACCATCTCACTGGCTTGCCTAAACCTGACCAACCAAACCAACAAACGTACCAATCAGAGGCAGAGTAGGGTGGGTGAAATGCCGGTGGGAAGAAGGGAGGTGGCGGAAATAAGAAGTAAGGGTATTCATGTAGATCGAACTCAGAAGTGTCGGTACTCGGTACTGGTGAGTATTTCTAGTGTGTTGTAAGTGAGACTGATGTTTGTATGAGTCTATACTTTGTTTTTTAGGGAAATTCCACATAGTATGCCTTTAAAAAGATTTAAAAGTCTTGGTTAATTTCAGGTAGTTATCAAGTAGGATGAAGGCCATATTCACAAGCAACTGGTCATGTCCATAAGCCACAAGACTAGTCGCAACAGGAGCCGTCAAGAAGTAAAGGACTCCCCTCACTTCACCAGCCACAGGAGAAAGTCAACTAGAAACAAACTAAATCACTAAATTACCAAAGTGTTTCTCCACCAAATTAGCTTTTGTTCTTGAACGGAACTCTTGGAACCTTGGTGCTATCGAATCAGCCCACGTTTCCACCAGTTTTCACTGGAACCACTGTAAGCGACCTGTAGTATATGACAAACCCACTTTAGTTCCCAAGGAAAATCAGATATTCTTTGGTTCCAGCTGGGAACCGACCTTTCAGGTTCTGAACCATTTTAATTTTGGACAGAACATTTCAAAACTAGGTGTGCAAACCAGATCCAATCTATTTGTGGAAAAGCACTAGAGATTTTTAAGCCCAGTAGCAACCGACTAAACCAACTGACCACACCCATCACAACAGGAGCCAATCATCTAGAAGTTAGGAGTGCCCTCACTTCACCACCCACGCAAACATTTTTTGGCCATTTGTGCTACACAGGCAGGATCAAAGTTGATGGTCAAATTGGGCCAATCAGCACAATCCTTCAAAAAGTGACCAGCTGAATCAAAAAATGTAGATGCAACAAGAAATCCAAACCCCAACACAATGTTTTTGAAATTTCATAAACAGTTCCTGTAGTTTTAAGCTTGGGAGCATTGCATTGTGGGTCACTTCCTTTAGCGTTAAGTCCAGTTTAGTGCTGAATGGTGCGGCAGACAGTAATCCATTTTCACAACAAAAGAGAAGGAAGACAAAGAAGTGAAAATTTAATCCGCTTTTCTTTAAGACAACTACTAGAAGCAGGTCATTCCATCCGGCTCGGAGGTCGTGGTCGCCGTGGCTCCACCTCCGACCCAAAACACAGCCATGCTGGATTTTGATTGATTGATTTTGGGCACGCCAATGCTTCCAGCTCTGTGAGGACCAGAAGAGAAATGGTTCTGGCTGCTGCTGCTACCACAATAGTTGAACTCGAAGTCCGGGTCCAGGGCTGTGTCCGTGGAAACAACCCATGAGGCTGGACGCCATTTCTTCAGGGTGTACGGAGTCTTGACACGACGTTTTATCTTCTCTCCTGAAGCGCTCAAACTGCCGTTCTCTGTCACAGAAACATCATCTGAGGACGAGAGGAAGAAACATTATTAGAATCAGGTATGTATTCATACTCTTAGGTACATTTACTGTTTCCGTAGACCTATGTGCCATTCTTCTAAAACAGGTGGTGCCAGAATCTTGGTGACTACTTGTGGGGATAGTTGGTGCACGACTGTAGCTGGCAAGGTAACCACTAACCTGATAGCTAGTGAGAGAGAGCTTCCTGATTGGTTGTTGGGCCAAGTGAACTCCACTTCTTCTGAAAGACAGTGGATTGTTGAGTCTCCTTCACAGGTCATCATATAGCAACACTTTGGCAACCGAAAGTATCTGGCGACCTGGTAGCACGAACACCACCTGTTGAGTTGTGTTTCTCCCTCTGAGCTGCTTTGTTTGTTTCTCATTTACCATAACCTACAGTGTTGGTGTTTGACCACCTGGGAATGAGACTCCAACAATCAGCTATATTTCTTCAGAATGATTGACCCTATAAGTAAGTCCTTGTTGCATAATTCCCAAAAGAATAGTAAAATATTTTTGGTTTGCCTGTAAAATGTGGTCCACAAGTTTGACAAGAAAATGGATAAGATATTTATGGTCCTGGGAGGATGATTACTGATGATTTTGACCCCCTGACCCTTCCTCTAAACCAGGTGCAAGGGAAGACTTCCTGAGAAATGACCTACCCTCCTCTCCTCCATCCTTACCACCTTACACTGGAGCACTGCTAAAGGGGTCTTTACCAGCTGTAACTGTCTTGTATGGTAACTACAGTTTTACAGATCCTGCAGGGAACAGTGAGGACAGCAGAGAGGATCATGTCTTTCCCAGGAACAACATCTTTGACATTGACTGAAGTCTTTAGCTCAAAGTTCAACATTTAAAATTTGACCTCTGATTCACCGAAGGAACAGCTCTGTGCTAAAAAAAACAAAAGTAATGCAAAGTCAAATAATAAATTCTTAAACATTTAATCTTGACTAACCTGAGAAGATGCAGGATGTAGACAGGTCCAGGGAACAAGGACGCTCAGGCCTCTTGGCTTTGGCCTGTCCCATCTGGGGCCGCAACAGACCCAGAGTTTGTGGATCTAAGGTTGGACTTTTTATAGCTGAGGCTTCTGCAAGAGCTGTTGTTTCTGAGGCTGGAACGTCTAAAGATGAAGCTTCTTGATTCATGAATGGAGCTTCTGGCTCTGGAGCTTCTGGCTCTGAGGCGTTTAGGCCTTGAATTTCTGGAGCAACGGTAAGGCCATCTTTTGAAGACGAGGTTGAGGTTTTAGTGGCGGGTTCTTGTGCTTGTGAAGATGGGGTTGCAGTGGCAATAGAGTGAACCAGATGAGCCTTTGGGCTTCTGGTGGATTCAGGGGTCAATACTGGTTGGCCGGATGTAGTACTGCCTGCTCGACCAGAAAGCAGAATTTTATTTTCCAGATTTGAAACTGGAGCTGTAGAAGGAGATCCACCGATCTGCTGACTTGCCAGGGGAGGCTCAGGTTTAGTGCCTCCTCCCTGACTGACCTCTGAACCATTCTGGATCTTGACATCAGATCCCAACGCTATCCTGTTGTTGTTGTTGTTGGAGTTTGAGCCTCGTCCGGACAGGATGTTTCCAGGTCGTGGCTGATGATGATGATGCAGATGAGGAAGGGGTGTGCTCTCAGCAGGCGGTTGTTCTCTGCTCAGCAGTGGTTCATGTTCATCCGGGCTGGGGTTGAGCAGGTTCATACAATTTTCCGCTCCTCCCATTATCCCTCCCGCCATCTTGTCCTCCTCTTCCAGCTGCGGCCCTGCTGGATTGGTTCGACCTCCACCCACGATACCATTTGTCACCAGGGTGGGGACACCCGCGCTGTAGCCATTGGCGACCACCATTAACGGTTGGACTCGGTTCCCAGTTGTAACACCGCCTCTCACGCTGGGGTTGTTAGTTACCGTGGTTACCAGGTGGGGCTCTACAGCTGTGGCGACTGTTACCGTGTTCATTTTAGCAACACCTGTTTCCACCTGAAATACAATACTTTCTGGATTAGTGACACACTTAAAGGGACATTGTGTCGGAGTTTCTCCCATCTAGTTGTGAAATTGTATTTTGCATTCAAACGAATAGTGCTCTCTAGTGCCTCGCGTTTTCAAATGCGTATTGCAACTACGGTAGCCGTTATGTACCAAGAAGCCTACCTGTCAAGGAGAAAGCAGGCAACTTCAGCGTCCCTTTGAAAGTCTTTCTCCTTCATTAGCTCTTTCCACCTGGGAAAAGCTACCCCGATCTTTACATTCGTTTTTTGAATTTGCCGGTCACGTGACGCTGGCTCTGAACGAGAACGCGTTGTGGATTAGCGAGACAGGTAGGCTAGTGCTTTATGTCCCTCTCGGCGATTATAGTTTTTCAAAATGGCGGTACGACATGGAAGCCTCCATGGACTTGCCCGTCCAATGTATATACAGATAAATAATTCTTCGCTTACGAGGATAGGTCAGATCATCGGCAGAGGTAATTTTACACCAATGAGGACACATTTATGAATGAAGACATTGATTTTAGCTAATAAAATACTTAATACACTACACAATGTCCCTTTAAAACAACATTTTTTAAACAATCAGCTGCCGTCACGTGACGCACACTAGCCCAGAAAGACTCACAGCCCCCCACGAAATGACTTGTTTCACTATCAGAATTTGATCCATTCAGTCCGATAACATCTGGAAAGTCTAGAAGAGCTGCATTAATAAATTATTAATCCTCATTTAAATTAACGGATCAGAATAACCTCCAGAACATAGACAGGACTTTGCTACCACAATCTACCCATGCCCCTCTGGATAATAGGTCTATAGAAAGTGATTACTAGATTTTGAGTTGAGGGTCTAACTCAATCATCTGTACCTGTCTGTGGTTTGACTTGATCTTTCCCAGCTTAAGTCGAGAAGAGGCGGAGGTGGTCTCCTTCGTTTTGGGGAGAAGGTGGAGGCTGGTTGGCCTCTGGGGCAAGTTCTGCTGTTTGGGGAGAGGGTGGATGGAGGAGGACGGAGGGATATCGACCCCACCAACAGCCCCCAGTTCACCCTGAGGAGTCCATGCCGAATTATTGGCCTAGAGGAACCGAAGAACAGATCTCCGGTTAGCAGCCACACAAGCTATTCAGTGAGGTACTCAGTAATACCTCATTAGTGTGCGGTAACAGTACCTCAGCAGTGTGAAGTATCTGATGGTACAGCAGGTTGGTAGTTTGTTGCTCTGTGGAACCAAACTGTTTCTGTGAATGTTCCATCAAGTTTTCATCAGAACTTTCCCTCAAGTTCTTATCAACCTGCGGAGACAGAAACACACTGATGTGAAGTCTGATGAGAATAGAACTGAAAACTTTAGAACAAATTAAAAGTAAAGACCTCTTTGGGGTCGAGTTTGGTGGCCTCTAGGTCTTCTTCTGTCAGCTGCAGGCGAACCGGGACCCTGGGCACAGCGCCACCTGGTGGACAGCAGGGACAGTCACTGAGGACAGTTCACATAAATGTCAAAATGCTAAATGTCCTCGCCAGATTTAATCCCTCTGTAGTGGTGTTTCTGAATGGGTTAAAGCAAAAATCAGTGTAGGTTCAAGTGCTTTCATCTGCATTAGTTTAGTATTTAGTTAAAAATAGGTTCCAGTTAGCGGAGTTGAGGCAGAGCAGCCGGACATCAGAGGGAAAACCAGACAATATTCTCCCGTTAAAATATGGTCCAGCTACACCAAAATCACTGATAAAGTTTTTGTACAGTAATCAGTGAGCACTGCTATCCATGCTGTTGCTGTTGTGAGAGGCAATAATTAAAGGTGCACTATGCGATCTTGCGTGGTATCAGCGCGATTTCATTCTTGTCTCAAATCGTCATCTCTCCTTGATCCACTAGCTGCCTGCCCCCTGAATACACTGAAAAAACCCGGTCTCGGGAGACAGCACAGGGCTCGTAAACGTCAAACAAACACTAGAGGCGCAGGCTGTGCACCAAAATACAACAGACCACGTTCCAGCCAATCACAGACAAGATGGTTGGGAGAGAGGGAGGGGGTGGGGGTGGGGGTTAGTGCACGTGTACATAATTGGGGGGCAGAGAGCAGAGTTGATTGAGTAGCGTGAGTTGTGTTTGAGAGTAATATTTTGGACAATGGCTGAGGCACAGTAAAAGCTAGTTAGCCTAGCTTGCTAGCCTCCACTTTATGGTACATAAAGAGAGCATGTGTGACTGACTGTGTTCAGACTCGGAGATGCTGCAGAGGATGGTGGCCGACGTCCGGGCAGTCGACACGCTGCTGTCTGAACTGGACGATCGAGCCTGACTCTGACATACAGAGAGAGAGAGAGAGAGACAGACAGAGAGGAGAGAGAGACAGAGAGAGAGAGAGAGAGAGAGAGAGAGAGAGAGAGAGACAGACAGAGAGAGACAGAGAGAGAGAGAGAGACAGAGAGCGAGAGAGAGAGACAGAGAGAGAGACAGAGAGAGAGAGAGAGAGGAGAGAGAGAGAATAATCAGTATCAAACAGGAACTGTTGGACTTCAGTGTCTCTGGTTGATGTTGTACCTGTGCCTGCTGCCGTTCATAGTTGATGGAGTTTCTGTTCTTTTCTGCGCCTTCAGCTCCGCTCGTGGTCGTCTTGACGACCGACGTTGGGTGGCCGTCTCCCTGGAGGTTCTTGACCACGCCCACCTGCAGATCCTCAATGTAGGAGGAGGCGGAGCCAGCCTGAGGAGGCCAGCAGCCGTGAGACAGGTTCCTGAGAGACAGACAGAGAGAAAGATCAAGAAACAGGTAACTTTAATGTACCTGTGGTTGTGTACCGCAGTGTGTACCAGTGGTTGTGTACCTCAGTGTGTACCTGTGGTTGTGTACCGCAGTGTGTACCAGTGGTTGTGTACCGCAGTGTGTACCTGTGGTTGTGTACCGCAGTGTGTACCTGTGGTTGTGTACCGCAGTGTGTACCGCAGTGTGTACCTGTGGTTGTGTACCGCAGTGTGTACCAGTGGTTGTGTACCGCAGTGTGTACCTGTGGTTGTGTACCGCAGTGTGTACCAGTGGTTGTGTACCGCAGTGTGTACCAGTGGTTGTGTACCGCAGTGTGTACCTGAGGTTGTGTACCGCAGTGTGTACCGCAGTGTGTACCTGTGGTTGTGTACCGCAGTGTGTACCAGTGGTTGTGTACCGCAGTGTGTACCGCAGTGTGTACCAGTGGTTGTGTACCGCAGTGTGTACCGCAGTGTGTACCTGTGGTTGTGTACCGCAGTGTGTACCTGTGGTTGTGTACCGCAGTGTGTACCAGTGGTTGTGTACCGCAGTGTGTACCTGTGGTTGTGTACCGCAGTGTGTACCAGTGGTTGTGTACCACAGTGTGTACCTGTGGTTGTGCACCGCAGTGTGTACCTGTGGTTGTGTACCGCAGTGTGTACCTGTGGTTGTGTACCGCAGTGTGTACCGCAGTGTGTACCTGTGGTTGTGTACCGCAGTGTGTACCTGTGGTTGTGTACTGCAGTGTGTACCTGTGGTTGTGTAACGCAGTGTGTACCAGTGGTTGTGTACCGCAGTGTATACCTGTGGTTGTGTACCACAGTGTGTACCTGTGGTTGTGTACCGCAGTGTGTACCTGTGGTTGTGTACCGCAGTGTGTACCTGTGGTTGTGTACCGCAGTGTGTACCGCAGTGTGTACCTGTGGTTGTGTACCGCAGTGTGTACCTGTGGTTGTGTACCGCAGTGTGTACCTGTGGTTGTGTACCGCAGTGTGTACCTGTGGTTGTGTACCGCAGTGTGTACCTGTGGTTGTGCACCGCAGTGTGTACCTGTGGTTGTGCACCGCAGTGTGTACCTGTGGTTGTGTATCGCAGTGTGTACCTGTGGTTGTGTACCGCAGTGTGTGTACTCAGCAGTGTGAGTTCAGACAGTCTCTCCTCTGCACACTGAGCGGTGAGTCGAGCTTCAGCGTCCTGGTCCCAGCAGTCCTCCATCGTCTCCTTCAGCGAACGCAACACCTAAAAACATCGACAGGAAGCTGCTAAGAAGTTCTGTGGTTTTCACGGCTGCAACTCAGGTGTGAACAGGTGTGAACAGGTGTGAACACCAACCAGGCTGTTCTCCTTCCAGGCTTCAGGGAATCTGGGTCTGAATTTCTCTCTGGCGACGAGTATCTGCATGTCCTCGAAGCTCGGGTGATTCCCCAACTCTGCCTGGAACGCCAGCTGGAACTCCGGAACTGCTTCATCTAAACACACACATCAGCTACATTACATAACCTGCCAGCACCTGTCGCTATCACTCACCTGTACAGTGCAGATAACAGTCTGTTAGCACGATATCATAACCTTGGGCCTGTTAGCTCTAGCTCCAGTCTGTTAGCACGATATCATGTTGTATATGTCATCCTATATGTACATTATCGTGTTGTGTTGTGTTGTCCCACCTGGGAACAGGTGTGAGCACCTCCTGAAGCTCTCCCAGTAGAGCAGACCAAGAGAGTAAACATCCACCTGCTTCAGCGCCGACTCACAGTCCCTGAGGTTCAGAGCTCCACCCAGAACCTCTGGAGCCATGTACCGCACCGTGCCCACCTGCAAACACACACATATATAAGCACACCTGCCTCCTCCTCCTCCTCCTCATCATCTCTCTGTCCACCTGCCGCTGTCACATGACCTCACCTCAGATATGGCCATGGTGTCGTCGTCTCCAGGGCAACAGGGCCGGCTTCCTGTCAGCCTCATGGACAGACCAAAGTCAGCGAGGACGCAGGACAGATCGGCTCGGACCAAAACGTTCCTGCTGGTCACGTCTCTGTGGGCCACCGCTGGTTTATACTGGTCTGAGTGGAGACGGAGGGGACAGCTAATGTTAGCAAAACACACGCTAACTAGCAGCTAATCTACTGTACATCAACCATTAGCTAGATAGTTAGCTAGCATTTTGCTCAAGCAGCAACTTCTGTGGTTGCAAATGAATCCAACACTGAAGCACCGAAACCTGCAGTTCCTCTAACGGCCACTAGAGGCGGCAGCAGTTCCCCGTTAATGACAACTGTACATTTATACAACTCACCCTGTAAAACATATAAAATATTAAAGTTATGCATCGTTAAGGGCCATTTTGAGTGACAGGTGGATTAGTGTTACTATGATGATGATGATGATGATGATGATGATGATGATACCTCCTCTGTACAGTTCAGTGTGCAGGAAGGCGAGTCCTCTGGTGACACCGTGAGTCATCCTGCAGCAGGTAGACCAGTCCACTGTGTGGAGAGACAGGTAGCGAGACAGGCAGCCCTGAGGCAGAAAGACGAGTTAACCACAGCTGATGTTTGATCACATGACACAATCAGCGAATACATTTTTATATACAGCTTTATGATCATTATAACGCTGACTGTATAATCTAAAGCTTCATAGGGGGTCGTAAAGGCCTTCTTGATTTTAAAGTGTCCTAGAAAACTTACACAGTAGGTTCATATCTCAGCATTTCAGTTAGTAATTAAACTGTTATTTTTTACTGATTAACTGTAAAACCATAAACGTAATTTAACTCAAAAACGTGTTGATTACGTCGAACATTTTAAATAAAACTGAGTAAATTTTGTAAGTTAAAATCATTCTTGATCAAGTAACTTCAGTAATTGTAAGTGACAATAAATATATAGTTTAGTGAAAAAATTGTAAACTTACTTAATCAAGAATGTTTTTTAACCTAAAATTGAGTTTGTGTAACTTATAATTTTCAGTGTAATCCATCGTTCTACAGTTTATTATTTAATATCTAAAGTTTGATGAGCTGAACACAAACTGTATTAGAACAATGGCATCAAGCATCAGGGAGAATAAAACTGAATTGGTAAAAAAAAATAACTTTTTAAGTCTGTATGATTGTTAAATAGTTAAAAATATATAATACAGACAAAAGATAGTGTAAAAAGTTCTCACAGGAAATAATCAACCTTCCTGTAGTTATTCACTGTTTATCAGCTGTTCTGTGTCTGCTGTCAGTTTACTCACTCAACCATTTTACATGTTTGATGTTCAGGTCGGCTCCGGCTCGGTTCCACGGTCCGTAATTTGGGGAATTAATTAAAATAAATTCTGACTAAAGTCCTGAAACTGGAACATGTGACTGAGATTTCATTAAATAACCAGCAGGAAGTCACACTGCTGGTTTCTGCTTTTAATGGTTGTTATTGTCAGATTGTTTAACGACGACCGACACTAGAGTCATTAATGCGAAGAACAATAATACAAACATTTTAACATAAGAATATTTAATGTGTGTGTGTGTGTGTGTGTGTGTGTGTGTGTGTGTGTGTGTGTGTGTGTGTGTGTGTGTGTGTGTGAACAGACAGTTAAGCTGGTAATTACTGTCTGACTGCTACAGAGGAATGCAGCACTGAGCAGACAGTGTGTGTGTGTGTGTGTGTGTGTGTGTGTATGTGTGTGAGAGTGAGTGTGTGTGTGTGAGAGTGTGTGTGTGTGTGAGTGAGTGTGTGTGTGTGTGTGTGTGTGTGTGTGTGTGAGAGTGAGTGTGTGTGTGTGAGAGTGAGTGTGTGTGTGTGAGAGTGAGTGTGTGTGTGTGTGTTCAGTGGCTCCAGACAGGAAGTGGGAGTGAAGGCGCCGTCTTGCAGCACAATAACAAGATTAACGTTGTGATGTCAGAGAGACGACAGTCAGTCTGCTGTCAGCGCCTCCTACAGGACGCTAATTACTTTACGCTAACATTTATTGTAGATTAGCTAGTTAGCTTCTTATTAGCTAGCTTGTTAGCTGGCCTGATAAAAAAGAAAGGCTAGCACATTTCTTAGTACAGGAGAGGAGGAAGTTGACCGATGCTTTCTCAACTGTTATTGGAGCACAGAGCAAAAAGGGGCGGGGCTTAGGAAGAGTCAAATGGACGGCTAACACAAACACCATGTAATGCAATGGAAAAGCATAGCATTAGCCAGCTAACGTGCATGTAGCCCTGGGTGGTTCATTCAGTGTCTCTTACATGAGGGTAGAACTCCATCAGGATCAGGAACTCGGGTCGTCCGTCCGCCGTCGTCCTCTCGTCGGCGGTCAGGAAGCGGGCGATGTTGTCGTGTTGCTGCAGCAGCGGCAGACAGTAGATGGAGCGCTCGTTGGCGTAGTTCTGCCGGTTGGCGGAGCTGAAGAGTTTGACGGCCACGCAGCGCTCGTTAAGGCAGCCGCGAAACACCGTGCCGTAACGACCCCGACCAATCAGCTGCCGGGAGGAAGGAGAGGGTTGTTAGAGACGGACACGTGGCGTTCCTCAGGGCTCAACCTGAGATCCTCTAACATTGTTACGTTTATACGCTCTAACAGGTTAAACAATGAGGATTTAACTTTGTAATTAACGGTTGTCGTGGTTTCAATGGTCCCGCCTCCTCTTAAAGGGACAGTCCACCAATATCACATCAGACTCCATCTACCTGCCTTTAATTTGGGTCGTACTTAAATTGTGAAATCTGTTATATAAAGTCTTCTTTGTTTACAGCAGGGAGACTAATGAAAGGTGTGTGTGTCTGTGTGTGTGTGTGTGTGTGTGTGTGTGTGTGTGTGTGTGTGTGTGTGTGTGTGTGTGTGTGTGTGTGTGTGTGTGTGTACCTCCAGTAGTTTCAGGTTATCCAGGTCGACAGCAACGTCTGTGTTTGCTGCCTCCAAAACATCCAGAGCTGACAGACTGTGTTTCTGCTTCTTCCCTTAAAACACAAAGGTATGAATGATTATTATTATTGTTATTATTATTGTTGTTGTTGTTGTTGTTATTATTATCATTATTATTATTACTGAGCACCTCTCATCATACGGTATCCCAGGAACAACGCTATGATGACAACGGCTGCTATGGCGACGGTTACCAGGGCGATGAGCACCGTCTCCTCCCGCCGCAGCGCCGGGTGAGCTGTGGGATAATGTCATCATTAATATCACTGTGTCATCATTCTGCCTCCCCCTCCTCCTCCCCCTCCTCCTCCTCCGTACTGACGGTTCAGCTGTTTGTTGTTGTTGTTGTTGTCACTGGCGTTAATGTAAACAAACAAACAAACATAGCAGCAGGTGTCGGGCTCAGACTGCGTGGGCGTCTCCACCGGCTGTTCAGCAGCACGAAGCATTAAAGAGCCGATCAGAAGGTGATCAATAAAGACCTAAACAATGACTTCCTGTCACTCTCGTGTAGTGGAGCAGCACTATGACCTCAGCACTGTGGCCTGTGATTGGTCGGTACAGAGTGACCCGCTCACCTGTCTGTCCGCCGTCCCGCCCGTCTGTCTTCATCGGCCTCAGGGCGGGGGTGTCGGCAGTGGGTGGGGGCTCGGTGAAGTTGGCGTTGCAGAGGTTTTGGCTGCAGCAACAGAAGCGGTAGCTGCCGTTCTGGATCTGAGACGGCGTCGCTGTTACCAGGCAACGGTCGCCATGACACTCCTGCTGGCTGCCAGTGTGAGTCCAGCAACCTGGAGGACACACGAGGTCTTGGTTGGATCCGGTTCAGATTCAGACCACGAGCGAGTGTGTGTGTGTGTGTGTGTGTGTGTGTGTGTGAGTGTCTCACCTTGTTTGACCAGGTGTGTTTCCCCGTCTGGTCTCTTTTCCCACAATCCATAGCAGCGGGAGCCACGGATGCAGCGAACAGTGCCGTTTTCTCGCACCACTCCTCGCAGCTCATTGGCGGGTTCGCCATGAGGCTCCGCCCCCTGCAGGGTGTCAGTGAAGGCACATTCAATGTCCTCCGACTGGAAACCTACAGACAGACAGACAGAGAGAGAGACAGAGATAGACGGAGAGAGACAGACAGAGAGAGAGACAGACAGACAGACAGAGAGACAGAGACAGACGGAGAGAGACAGAGAGAGACACAGACAGGCAGAGAGAGAGACAGAGACAGACGGAGAGAGACAGACAGAGAGAGACACAGACAGGCAGAGAGAGAGACAGAGACAGACGGAGAGAGAGAGACAGAGAGAGAGACAGACAGAGAGAGAGACAGAGGGTTTATTGATTAATTGATTTATTTTAATTATTGACTCTTTCCAATCTAACATCACTGCTTCCTCAATAATACAAATAATAACTTTATTTATACAGAACCTCTTTACAAACTGTAAGAGGAATAAAAGATAAAGTAATTCAATATTAAGAATATACAGTGAGAGAGTTTAAACGAGGATATTCAGACGAGGTTCTTCCAGCAGCCTCGCTGGGAAAAGTCTGACAGCAGCAAATAATGATGAGAGAACAACAGAGTGACAGTGTGTGAGCGCTGCCTCGGGCTGCTGGTGTCCTGTTAGAGGAGCTGCATTAGTCCAATGTCCCAACATCACATCTTCATCACATGTCTACAAACATCTCTACAACATCTACACAACGTCTACACAACATCTACACAACGTCTCTACAAACATCTCTACAACATCTACACAACATCTCTACAACATCTCTACAAACATCTCTACAACATCTACACAACATCTCTACAACATCTACACAACATCTCTACAACATCTCTACAAACATCTCTACAACATCTCTATAACATCTCTACAACATCTACACAACCTCTCTACAAACATCTCTACAACATCTACACAACATCTCTACAACATCTCTACAAACATCTCTACAACATCTCTACAACATCTCTATAACATCTCTACAACATCTACACAACATCTCTACAACATCTCTACAAACATCTCTACAACATCTCTACAAACATCTCTACAACATCTACACAACATCTCTACAACATCTACAAAACATCTCTACAACATCTACACAACATCTCTACAACATCTCTACAACATCTACACAACATCTCTACAACATCTACACAACGTCTCTACAAACATCTACACAACATCTCTACAACATCTCTACAACATCTACACAACATCTCTACAACATCTCTACAACATCTTTACAACATCTCTACAACATCTCTACAACATCTCTACAAACATCTCTACAACATCTCTACAACATCTACACAACATCTCTACAACATCTCTACAACATCTTTACAACATCTCTACAACATCTCTACAACATCTACACAGCATCTTTACAACATCTCTACAACATCTCTACAACATCTACACAACATCTCTACAACATCTACACAACATCTACACAACATCTATACAACATCTCTACAACATCTACACAACATCTCTACAACATCTCTACAACATCTCTACAACATCTACACAACATCTACACAACATCTATACAACATCTCTACAAACATCTACACAACATCTCTACAACATCTCTACAACATCTCTACACAACATCTCTACAACATCTCTACAACATCTCTACAACATCTACACAACATCTCCACAACATCTCTACAACATCTACACAACATCTACACAACATCTACACAACATCTCTACAACATCTCTACAACATCTCTACAACATCTACACAACATCTACACAACATCTCTACAACATCTCTACAACATCTCTACAACATCTACACAACATCTCTACAACATCTCTACAAACATCTACACAACATCTCTACAACATCTCTACAAACATCTACACAACATCTACACAACATCTTTACAACATCTCTACAACATCTCTACAACATCTCTACAACATCTACACAACATCTCTACAACATCTCTACAACATCTCTACAAACATCTCTACAACATCTCTACAACATCTCTACAAACATCTACACAACATCTACACAACATCTTTACAACATCTCTACAACATCTCTACAACATCTACACAACATCTCTACAAACATCTCTACAACATCTCTACAACATCTCTACAAACATCTACACAACATCTACACAACATCTTTACAACATCTCTACAACATCTCTACAACATCTCTACAACATCTCTACAACATCTACACAACATCTCTACAACATCTCTACAACATCTACACAACATCTCTACAACATCTCTACAAACATCTACACAACATCTCTACAACATCTCTACAACATCTACACAACATCTACACAACATCTCTACAACATCTCTACAACATCTACACAACATCTGTACAACATCTCTACAAACATCTACACAACATCTACACAACATCTCTACAACATCTACACAACATCTACACAACATCTCTACAACATCTACACAACACCTCTTCAACAACGTTTCAGTGACGTTTCTAGAGACTTGGTGACGTAGTGAGCTACCTGGGGAGCTACTGTAACTGGGTAAGCTCTAACATGCTACCTGGCTGGGAATATGCTAACAGCTCTCTGAGGTTCTTTCCACCTGTTTACTGACGTTTTAATCTCAGGATTGTTCTTTTCATTTACTAACAGTAAAGTTACTGTTACTGAAGAGGGAAGACATGCTATCAGAGCTAGCCGGCCTGCTAACTGTCAGCTACAACAAGTATTATATGACCCAAAAGATTATGTTTATGGTTAAAATAAGAGGTTATTTCAGGGGGAGTGTCATATAGTCAGTTAAAAAGCTTGTTAGCCTGGTAGCTAACAGGGCTAACAGAGGAGCTTCAATAAGACTGTACGGTGCTAATAAGCTGCGGTCGCTGCCTCCATGTTGGACTCCAGCAGTTACCATCAAACACAGCGACAGTTTCTGAACTTGAAATGCTGTACAAACCGGCTGGGTCGCTTTTATTTTAATATTCCAAGACGTCTGAGGTTTTAACGTTGTCATAGCAACAGCAGCAGCTGCTCAGCCCACATTTCTGTTTGATGGACTACAACAAAGCAGCGTCAACAATAAAGTGTATTACAGCTGCAGACAGACAGCAGGTGTGTGTGTGTGTCGCTGCGATCAATAACACATAAAAACCACACACACACTCTCACACATCAGAGCCGGCAGTCTAACCACAGGGAGCCCGAACAGATTCAACAAGAACGGCACCAAATCAGATTCTGCTGGAAGTTTCTTTAACGACCACGACTGACCAGAGTCAGACAGGAAGTCTGCTGGAGGTCGGAGCGTCACCAGAAGATCAATAACGTCCCTGTGAGAGAGTCACCGAGCAACTACTGCGTCAGTATCAGTGCGGATCAATCAATCAATCAATCAATCAAACTTTATCTGTACAGAACATTACTGCAGTTCAAAGTTCTTCACACACAATAAAATGAGACTGAATGAAGTCAAATTTAATAAAGTAGATTTAAAAATGAGAATAAAATCCAATAGAATCGATTTTATGATATTTAATAAAAGTTATACTTTTATATGTTTTTATAAACTAAATAAAATTAATTAAGAAAGCAGAAATAACAAACAAATAGAAACAATACGAAGCAGAGTATGGTCGACATATCTGACCTGAAACTTGATCAATTATATATTATATATTATAATATTATTGGACGGCGCTACAGATGTCTCCTAGCAACAGATTTACACATTATAAAGTCTTTACCAGCTGAGTTTACTGATTTAGTGAATTAAAGTTAAAACCAGTCAGGGAGAACCGAGGAGGGAAAATCCTAAATTCCTTCACAGTGTCATCTCACAGGAATCTCACCCCCACCTCCCCCCCACCCCCCCGACCACGAAGTCGGAAAGTCGGAGCCAGGAGGAGTCTCAGTGTTTAGTCTACTGTAAACACACACACACACACACACACACACACACAATGAGAGGAAGGTGGAGTGTGTGTCTGCATCTTATCAACAACAGAAACACAGAAACTGATGCAGACTGACTGACGACAGTGTGTGTGTGTGTGTGTGAGTGTGTGTGTGTGTGTGTGTGTGTGTGTGTGAGTGGGTGTGTGTGTTTATATAAGACAGTCAGGATGTGAGGTTGTGTGTGTGTGTGTCAGGAGTTAATTGCAGAAAGAATTCATTAACTGAACAAACAGGAATGTAAAACGCTGCTTTCTAATGTTTCTGTGAGCTGACTGCAGTGCATGATGGGAAATGAAGTTCTTCTGAGAAGTGTTGATGATCAACACACACATCTTCAGATGGACCACCAACGTGGATCTGACTGCAGTTATAAACTCATTCTGTTTTTAAAGCCGGCAGAACTACATTTACAAATCCGCTAATTTTGTTCCTTTGTTGCGTTTTGCCAAAAATCCGCCTGAGAAAATAAAATCTGACACATTTTTATTAAACTGTTTGGTGTTTTGGTGAATTCGGCTTTAGAGGTGTCGACCAATCCGACCCCCATCAGGAGGTTGACTGAAGCTAAGCTAGCAGTTTCAGTGTTTGCAGTCTTCACTTTAAAAATAGGAAACATGTTACATTATTTTCCAGTCTTTATGCTAAGCTAGGCTAAACGGGTCCGGACTGCGTTGTGATGAATAAGTTGAGTGAACTGACCGTTCGCAGCCGGCAGCAGCAGGACGCACACACACACTGTTAATCCCCACACGGCAGCCATGTTGGATCCACGTCACACTGAAGACAACATCACTGATCCTGGGTCAGATTATCCTCCTCTGAAATACAAAGAAATACATCTTTATTTTTATCAAACATTCAGAAACAGTGAAAGTTTCTGTTTTAAGTTATGTTGTTAAATGACATTAAATAATAATAATGATGTTTCAAATATCCCATAAAGCACAGTAACCTGATATAGTTCACCTGTAATACTACCTGTAATACCTGTAATACCACCTGTAATACCACCTGTAATACCACATGTAATACTACCTGTAATACTACCTGTAATACTACCTGTAATACCACCTGTAATACCACCTGTAATACTGCCTGTAATACCACCTGTAATACTACCTGTAATACCACCTGTAATACTACCTGTAATACCACCTGTAATACCACCTGTAATACTGCCTGTAATACTACCTGTAATACCACCTGTAATACCACCTGTAATACTGCCTGTAATACTACCTGTAATACCACCTGTAATACCACCTGTAATACCACCTGTAATACCACCTGTAATACCGCCTGTAATACTACCTGTAATACTACCTGTAATACCACATGTAATACTACCTGTAATACTGCCTGTAATACTACCTGTAATACCACCTGTAATACCACCTGTAATACTACCTGTAATACTACCTGTAATACCACCTGTAATACCACCTGTAATACTACCTGTAATACTACCTGTAATACTACCTGTAATACCACCTGTAATACTACCTGTAATACTACCTGTAATACCACCTGTAATACTGCCTGTAATACTACCTGTAATACTGCCTGTAATACTACCTGTAATACTACCTGTAATACCACCTGTAATACTACCTGTAATACTACCTGTAATACTACCTGTAATACCACCTGTAATACTACCTGTAATACTACCTGTAATACCACCTGTAATACTGCCTGTAATACCTGTAATACCACCTGTAATACTACCTGTAATACCACCTGTAATACTACCTGTAATACTACCCGTAATACCTGTAATACCACCTGTAATACCACCTGTAATACCACCTGTAATACCACCTGTAATACTACCTGTAATACCACCTGTAATACCACCTGTAATACCACCTGTAATACTACCTGTAATACCACCTGTAATACCACCTGTAATACTACCTGTAATACCACCTGTAATACTACCTGTAATACCTGTAATACCACCTGTAATACTACCTGTAATACCACCTGTAATACTACCTGTAATACCACCTGTAATACTACCTGTAATACTACCCGTAATACCTGTAATACCACCTGTAATACCACCTGTAATACCTGTAATACCTGTAATACCACCTGTAATACCTGTAATACCACCTGTAATACTACCTGTAATACCACCTGTAATACTACCTGTAATACCACCTGTAATACTACCTGTAATACCACCTGTAATACCACCTGTAATACTACCTGTAATACCTGTAATACCACCTGTAATACTACCTGTAATACCACCTGTAATACCACCTGTAATACTACCTGTAATACCACCTGTAATACTACCTGTAATACTACCTGTAATACCTGTAATACCACCTGTAATACCACCTGTAAAACTACCTGTAATACTACCTGTAATACCACCTGTAATACTACCTGTAATACCACCTGTAATACCTGTAATACCACCTGTAATACTACCTGTAATACCACCTGTAATACTACCTGTAATACCACCACAGGCCTTTAATATTACACATTTTAATGCGTGAAACATTATATGAACTTGTAATTATAAAACCTTCATTATTTCAGGTTAAGTTTTGCGAAATATAATCTGATATAATTTGACTTGAACAAACCAGGCTTTTATTTTCTTGAATCACTGAACTTAAATGTTCCTTTCGCACAAAACTCAGCAAAGATAGAAAATACTGTTAATTTATTTATTTAAACCAGTATTAGCAGTTAGCAATCATTAGTTTGATCATTTTATAAAATCCAGACCAGGCCTCTAAATGAGACACCAGGCTAGTAAAGGAGACCCTGCTGCTACAGCATTAAAGAGGATTATTAGTTTAGGATTACCTCGACAACAAACCACCACAGAATGTCAGTACGGTGACTTTTACTGTAATGTTAGAAAAGAAAATGGAAATCAAAACCAACAACGTGTGTTTTAGATTATATGCAGTTTATTGATGTTTAATTCAGAGTTATTGATCGTTCTCACTCGGTGCTGTTGATGTTTTTCTACTCTAAAGATAAAATAAAGGTGAGATCAGCTGGTTTCACAAACCACAGCGAGGAGAATAAATCTGCACAAATTAACGTTTTCTGACCTTTTTCTGCTTCACGTCATATTTTATTGACCCAACGGCAGTAAAACGTTAATTTCTGCACAAATGTACTTACTGAGTCGCCATTTTAAAGAAATATACGTTTGATAAATCACAACTTCGTCATCAGTGAAACAATAAACACATTTTAAATAAATTATAATAATAATAAATTAAATTGTATTCAGCAGAAGGAAGAAATTCTGCTTATTTAATAACGACAAATAAATAAACATCGACATTGTTCTTTATTTTTAATTGTATATATATTATTGTATTCTGCGTTCATCCACTCCGATCATCCAGTTATCAATACGTCTACATTTGATTATCTATAGTATTAAATTTAACTGTAGTAATGTTATTATAAAAATATATAATGTTCAACCAAAGGCAAATGATCTGTTTCTATCAATATCAATCAATATTATTATTATTATTATTATTATTATTATTATTATTGCACTGTGAGAGCTTTATGTTCTAATATTATTAACATTACTGAATATAAAATATTAGTGTTAGACTATAATTATAATATTCCTATTTAATGACAATATTGATCTTTAGTCCTCAATCAGCTGATATTACAGTGTTATCAATAATCATCTAATATCGATTATTTATCAGTCAGCTGTGTTTGTAATATTTATATTTGACCTTCATGATCCTCTAAAACACACCTGGAACACACCTGCACACACACACACACACACACACACACACACACACACACACACACACACACACACACACGCACACACAGTATACGATATACAATGTGTGTGTGTGTATTATTGATCATATCATACAGATATATCGATTATTAGATTGATTGATCACCTGTGTGTTTGTCTGCAGGTAAATTCAACGACAGCGAGCTGAAGGGAGTGGCACACACACACTCTCGCGGTTAACGGTGTGTGTGTGTGTGTGTGTGTGTGTGTGTGTGTGTGTTAAATACCGGGGAGGATGACTCCGGCCGGCTCTGCAGGATGAGATGAAGCAGCCTGT